AGCAGAGTCCTGGAGCCCTCAGTGGCTTTTCAGGCTTTTGTTGAGCTTTACCAGGTTCACGGATGGCAGGGGTGCTGGGGGGCTGGCAGGCCTCCCAGCCCCTGGCGAATCTTCATTCTTTCTGGGTTCTCAGGCGTCCTCTCTGGTCTCGGCTTCTCTGCTGGTTCTCGTTCTCATTCTTGTGATGCCGCCCCTTATAAACCCTGTCTCAGCCCAGGTGTGCCCACCTACGCATGCCCACACCATTCACCAGGTGCCTACTCTCAGGTATGCATGTAGGACCACAGGGATCTATCATTAATGCTAATGGCAGAAGAGGGGGATATCCTGATCATTTTCACTTACCCTACACGGATTTATAAGATTTTTCATAAATCGGGCCTACCTGGTGGTGCAAGGGATTAAGACATAACCTGTGAAGCTATCCACAGCCACTGCAGCACGAGTTCAATTCCCAGCTCTACCCACATTGCACAGCAGACCTCTCCTGACTCACCAGCTGCTCCCATCAGCAGTGTATTTCAGTGGATCTGTCTGTTCTGCTCCCCATTCTGTCTCTGGTGAATCCTCTCACTGCCCCCCACACCTCTGGCCTGTACCTCAGTTCTTGTATGAATAAATAAATAAATCTTTTATTAAAAAAGGATTTTCATAAATCAAACTCTGAATATTCTGAAATTTCATATATTCAAATACTTCATTAAAAATAAAGAAGACAGGGTCCTCCCTGGTGGCACAAGGGTTTAATATGCAACCTATGAAGCTATCTGCAGCCACTTCAGCATGAGTTAGATCCCTGGCCAGGGAGCTACCCACATGGTGCAGCAGACCTCTCCTGACTTGCCTGCTGCTCCCCTCAGCAGTGTATTTCAGTCAGTCTGCCTGTTCTGCTCCCCACTCTGTCTCTGGTGAATCCTCTCTCACACACACACACCCACCTCTGGCCTGTACCCCAGCTCTGTATGCATAAATAAATAAATCTTTTTAAAAAATGAAGATATTTATTTAAAAAAAAAAGAAAATTGCAACACCACAATGGTAAAAAAAAAATGAGAAGATAATGATGGAGCATGTGTTATACGCAGAAAGGAAAGCCTTTGCAGTCGTGTAAGATCATTTAAACTGGGCAAGAAATTTAACAAATGAGCTAATTTCCAATGCAAGAGGAAAATATTATCCTTCATAAGTGTACCATGGTATATAAACAAAAATATACTAGTTACTTGGAATAAACAAGCTTCCTAAAAATAGTATAAGACAAAATCTTTAATTGGGTAAGTGATCTCAATTACACCATATAATAAAGAGATTACAGGAACACAGTTTAAAAAGAATTCCTATGTGGACACTCTAGTAAAAGCTATAATATGAATAGTGGAAAATATAGTCAAATTGTGCAGCTTTCTGACTGTCAGAGCATTCCATTAACCAGTGAGAGATCACCTGGAGAGATGAATGAATTGCTTAGCCTTCAGGCAATCCTTTATCAATATAACTTCTCACAATTTAACTCCTGTTACACATTGGCTCAAAGACATTTTGAGGATGAATCTCGGATGCTGAAGTAATTTCAACTGATAACAAAATGTGATGTCACCTATTTCACAGGAAAAGTTGCACTGTCTACTTGTCTATGAATTTGTGGCAGGTGGAATAACACTCAAAAGTGCACTTATATAAATTATATGTATAGGTAAAGTAAAATTTTATTAGTTTTTTTTTTAATTTAGGTAACATTGTTTTACAACATGTGATTCAGAGATACATGTTCATCCCTCTTCAGATGTATATTATCACAACACATCCACCAATAAAGCACCTTAGTCCTCCATCAGAATCCACTGGATCTCCTCCCCACTTTGCTGCCTATGCATGTTCCCCCTCGAATAGCCTCCAACTGTAAAGTCAGATTTCTAGGTTTGTTTTTATCTATTCCTTTGTTTTGTTTCTTTAAATTCCACATGAGTGAGACTTTGACTTATTTTGACTTATTTTGACTTATTTTGCTTTCCATAATTCCCTCCAGTTCTATCCATTTTGTTAAAAATGGCAAGAGTTCATCATTTTATACAGCTGAGTAGTATTCCATTGTAAATGTAAGAACTGAAAACAAACTACATAGAGGAAAATATTGTCAAAACACGACAGTGGCTTCAGTAATGTCTTGGGTGTTCAACTCCAATGGTAAGGGAAACAAAAGCATAAAAAACACAAATGGTACTATATAAAACCAAAAAGCTTTTGTGAGGTACAAGAAAGTATCAGTAGAAAAAAATGACCGCCCCCTCCCATATAATAATATAATTGCATACTGTACATTTGACAAAGGGCTGATATCCAAGATCTACAAATAACTTATACAACTCAACAAAAAGAAACCAACCTGATTCAAAAATAGGTAGAAGAACTAAATAGGCACTTCTCTAAAGAAGACATATAGATGGCCAAGGACAAATTAAAATTTTCTCATCATCATTTATCATGAAGGAAATGCATAGCCAAACCACAGTGAGATGCCACGCCACATCTGTGAAAATTACTTTTCTCAGAAACAACAGGAGTTGATGAGGATGTGGAGAAAAAAGAACTGTGTTGGTGGGAATGTAAACTGGTAGAGCCCTCATGAAAAACAGTATGGCAGCATCTCAAAATATTAAAAGTGTATCATATGACTGAGCACTTCAACTCTTTTCTATCTGCCCAAAGATAATAAAAACATGAATTCAAAGGTTTATATACATTCTATATTCATTGCAGCACTATTTACAATAGCCAAGCATGAAGCAACATAAGTATCTAAACACAAATGAGTGAATCAGGAAGATGTACACACACATACATACACACATAAACAATGGAATACTACTCAGCTATATAAAAGATAAACTTGTCATTTATGACAACATGGATGAAATTGAAGGGGATTATGCTAAGAGAAAATGGCTCAAAAGGAGGGCCTCCATGGTGGTGCAAGGGTTTAAGCATCAGCACCATGAAGCAACCTGCAGTTTCTGCAGCACGAGTTTGATCCCCGGCCAGGGAGCTACCCACATGGCGCAGCAGACCCCTCCTGTCTCATCCCACTGCTCCCCTCTGCAGTGTATTTCAGTAGATCTGCTTGTTCTGCTCCCCACTCTGTCTCTGGTGAATCCTCTCACCTCCTGCCCCTCTGGCCTGTATGCATAGATAAATAAATCTTTAAAAAAATAAAATGAGTCAAAAGGATAAAGACAAATAATGGATTATGTCATTTATATATGGAATATAGAGAAGCAAAAGAAAGGGCCTAATATAGCCAACCAAATAACAAGTCCTAGAAATCTGGCTGTAGAACAGAAGCTACCAGAGGTGGAAGAAGAAGCAGAGGAAGGGAGAGAACAAGGTAGGGAGGAGTCACAACATGCTTTGATAGAGGACCATGGGTGTTTTGGCGGTGGTTGTGGAGTAACAACACCTGACAGGGGAGAGCTATAGCTCTAAATTTCAAACAACATTTTAGACCAATGTTATTGCAGTGAAAAAAAAAAAATGGCTGTTACCAAAAGAGAAGAAGGATGGGTAAAATGATAAAAGGATGAATTTTATGGTGAAAGATAGAAATTAGATTTTGATGGTGAACATAATGTAGCATACACAGATGCTGATTTATAACATTAATAACATTAATATGTAAATGTAGAGAGCAAATAGGGTAGAAATGCAATGGACTATGGTGAAGGACTGTGGGTGTTCTGAAGGTAGTTAAACTGTGGTAACATACATCTGAAGAGTGTGATCCTATACCTCTAAATTAAATACAGTGTTTTAAACCAATGTTAATTCAGTAAATGTTTTAAAGGGGTTAAAGGGGAAAATAACAGGTAAAATTATCTCGAAAACATTTTTATGCATTTCTGTTTTCATTGTTTAGAAAATAAGATTGTTATACATAATTCTTTAGAGTAATAGCTTCATTTTCTATCTATTCTCTAAAAATGATTGGTTCTTCTTTTATGTATTCAAATACATCATGTGTGCCAATGCAAGGTGAAGCCTGCATTAGGTATAGGAAAGCAAGTTAAATTCTGCCTTCAAGGAACTCAGATTTAGGGTAAGAGATAAGACAAAAACTGTACACAGGCTCCTAACACAAAGAAATGATTACTCTAACAAAGGCATGTGCTATTAATAAAAAGAACAAACAAAACAATTTATTACAGAAAGGGGATGGGGGAAGAAGTCACAAAGAATTTTTAGGACTCTGCAGTTTCTTTTAAAATAATGCATTCAAGGCCTATCATTAAATGGATCATTTTCTAAATGTTTATGATTGATAAATGTGAGTCTATTTTCTATCAATAAATTTTGTTACCCCAGGGATATGAAATACAATAATATCATAAATCTTAAGAGCCAGGAATGACCTTTAAAAAGTTTTTAACCCAATATTATGGTTGATATATATATATAAAAAAAAGCTTTTCTCCAAAGTTTAGGGTATTTCTCATCTGGGGACAAATACCTGCGTTGACTCCCAGGCAGGAACTGGTCTGTAAAATGGATCTTCTTCTCACTCTATTTTTACATTTCTTCAGTCTTTTGTAAAATAATAACCTTCAGAGGATGCTTTTTAGAGATGACTGAACAATAATGAACAGACTTCTTTTGACTGCTAGGCCAGAATTCAATGCAACGCCACAGCATTTTATTAAAAATGTGTGGTTGTTCTGAAACAGTTAATATAGCTCCAAAGATTCATACCTTATGCAGTCAGAGATATTTATGCACTGCCAAATCTTGTGTAAATCTCATTTCGCAAACCAGGCTTAAGGAATACTTAATTTGGTGCTATTTACAAGGTAATATTAGCAAATGTATTTTTCCTATGCTAGATATATCTTTGCCACTTTTATTATCTACTAATATGCTTATGCTTACTACTGACAAAAAAGATTTACTTACATATTTCCAAATGGCCTTCTGATCTACAGAGAACATGGAACAAATTTATCTTATTTTTCATTAATTTATTCTCTTCTTGCCATTATATTAGCAGATTTATTACTATAGATTTTGATCCTCATCACAAGATGTCCTCTAGGCTGTAAAAAGAGAAGAGAAGGAATTGACAGAGTTGGTGAATATCCACAAAATTTCTTTTGTTTATTACTGTCTACTTATAAAGAAACTGTTTTTAAATTTATTAGGAATACAGTAAAAGCTCTGTCTCTGTGAATCCTCTCACCCTTCCGCACATCTGCCTGTACCCCGGTTCTTGTATACATGAATAAATAAAAAAAATCTTTAAAAAAAAAGCAATTAGTTTGAAAACTGCATCCATAAGTTGCATTCTAATAGATCTTTTTATTTAAGCTACTTGACTGATTTCTTAGCTTTAGTAATAAATGTGATCGTACATACAAAGTTTCACAATTTGTTAATATTCACAAAAGATACATAATCTTAATTATCTTCCAGTAGCTGCACATTTAATACTAGCCTGAGAGGCAGTCCTCTCTCTCTGAGTTTGGATGAAGAGAGCTACTTTATTGCTAGGTTGAAATTATTGCTTGGTTCAATAGTGTATTTTCACACGTTGGAATCAAGAAATGTCACTTACTGGTAAAGAAATTATACGATGCATGATGATATCATTTGGAAGGTGCCAAGAAATTTTTATCTTTTATTTTTGAAATTTATAGCTCAAAGTTAATTTCAAGGATATTTACATAAATAATAAGTGTAGATATTATATGTGGTATTAGAAAACTCCCAATTTTGTACATTGATTCAAAAGCATTGCTGGAATTTGGGAGAGATTTTAACATCATTATTATTGTAAATTGAATCTCTTTCTGAGGAATGAAACTCTTTGAGTGCATCATGCTATCTTTATAACTTTGTCCTTTAGAATTTCTTCTTCTACAATATTTGCATCCTTACAGATGTTTATATTTCAACGTTCTCATACCAACATGATTTCAATTTCTTGTGAAGTAGTCAAAGTGCTCTATAAATATTTCATTGCATATTTTATATCAAATTGCTATAATGAGAAACATTTTTGGAACATGTTGGTTGAAACAACATGAGTTCTACCCAACTGTATCTAGTTTACATCAAAAATTTGGAGGATTAAACAACTGAAAATTCCAGGATAGATGTGACTTATATATGTGGGTTTTCGAAGTACATCATTGTCTTTATCTTCATCCTGAATGCTCTTTATTCTCATGAATATTTTTTTTCTTTTGTTGACAAGTATGACCCTTGGAAACACTGGAATTACTAGTATTTCCAGAGAAAGAGTCCTGTTTTTCTCATGCTTTCAGGGGTAAAGTCCCTGCGATGACTCACTGGCTGAGTAGACCCATTTGGGAATCAGTAACTGTGGGCAGGTTATGAGCTGATCTGACACACTGGGTAGGGGTCACGTGACATGCACTGAATCCAGAAGGAGATGTCAGCCCCACTGATGCCACTGTGAGAACAGGTAATGATAGGGCTTCTCAAAACAAAGTAGCACAGGGCACATAAACTCACAAACCCATGCAGCCTTAAATAGTCACAAATATTATCTCCAGTTTCATCTACATCTCTGCTTTAGGAGCTATAACAAAGATGATGTGACATCACCCAGAATATGTTTTTCTTTGAAACATCTTAAAAAATATATTGAGGTAACTTTGCAGTACTACACTGTTATAGAGGTATAGGCTCTCCCCCTTCAAGATATTTAAAGACCTTATTAACATTCATAGCAAGGAGCATTTGGCACTTCAACACTCTCATTAGAAATCTGATGGCCCTCCCAAAAGGAGGTCAGTTGCCTGGAGAATCAAGGTACTCAAGACCACTAGTTTTCTGCAAACACACACTTACTTACATCAAGTATGGTGAGCACTGGGGGTAGATCCACAAAACATGTTGTCCTGACAATTAGGCTTCCCTTTTTGAGGAGGGGGGGGAGAGGTTTGCTCAGTGTCTCAGAGCATGACCAGGAAGAACCAGCACGTCAGCTCCATCATGACCCTTCACATGTCACCTCACATGTCATCTGTTCAAGAAATGGCAGCCAGTCTCCTTGTGGAGATGGGGACTTTAATATAATAATGAAAGTTTGGGTCATAGGGAGTTCATCGTGGAACTGGATCTTACTTGTTCCAGTTTCAGGCTGGTACATTTGTAAGTTCCTGAAATACAAAGAACATAAAGAATTTTTGCAGAGAATATTTTCTGTTTTATGGAATCTTCAATTTCTTAACTTGCCTGCTCCCTGGTTACATCTGTGCTCCTTATTATATTCTCTGAATCCTGCCCAAATATCTGAATTTCAGATTTAGCATTTTACATTTATCTGTGATGTATCTTAAAGCTAAGAGGAGTATAAAAGGGAAATCTTAATCACATGAACTTTGTAACTAAGAGAATTGGTTGTCTAATTCTTTAAGGCATGGTTATACTCTTAGGAGCTGAAGTCTTCAATTAGGAAATGAAGACACATACAGTGGAAGACTAATTGAGCATGGATATTCAAGTTTTGAATAATAATTATGCACCATACAGTTAGCCTGAAGGTCGTTCCACCACTTGGTATCCTAAAGAACTCAACATATGTCTCTTTTCTCTCTCAAGGCAATACCTAGACCAAGTAATAGGATCACAGGCAGCCTTATCTATTGACCAAGAACATACTGTACTTACATGAAATGAAACAGGAAACTGGCACCTATTATGTGTCAGGTGTTGGGGCTAAATCAGGTAATAAAACAAAAATCCCTCCTTTATAGAGTTGTTAGTTTAATATATGAAGATATATTGATCTTATTGTTAATTTTCTTCCTACTTTTGAAATGGGAGCTTTTTGTTCTTTTTCTTGACCATTGTATATTAGGCATCTTTGCTTGTTAAATTTATTAGTATTGACTTAAATAATGTTTGAGGTATGGTCAGGGCATGATGCAAAATAAAGTTAGGAGGCCATAAGTTCAGTGATGATTTTGAAATTGAGCAAAACCAGAGGGAAAAAGGGGGCAACCTGGTTGGTGGGTTGGTGGGTCCTCTTCTACAGACTTACAACTGCAGGACAGGACTCAGACAGAAGCACAGGGAGAAAAAACAACAGTGTTTATTAAAGGGAGTAAGCAAAGCAGGAGAGTTTTTCTTTCCTCAAATAATTTCCCTGTTGCAGATTCCAAACCCAAACCCCCACACGGAAGATGGCCACTGGCTCTCTCAGCAGAGAATGGAGTTTCTGGTCACTCACGTGGAGGAAGTGGTCAAATATGCAGGGAGCAAATGCTGGAAGCTGGGCACACCCCTGGGGAAAGAAAGTGGCTTTGGGTGGAGAGGGCTAGCCTGCCAAGGAGACTAGAGACCCACAAGTTCTGGCCTCTTTCACCATAAAATAGCCAAGGGAGAAAGAACTGGGTCCGTACATGTCACAATCCACTTGAAGAAGCAAGCTAATCACATGTCTCCTGGCTTTTAAACCCCATGGCCATTCCCCTCCACCCTGTTCCCAGCAGCCCCTTCTCACAGTACGTCAGGGGTGGGGTTTAGGGCATAGTGCTGCAGGGTACCGTCAACTTATCAGGATTGGGCAGTGTCCCCACACCAGGGGGCAGAGTTGGACTTGAGGGTGGGGCAGAAAGTCTGGGCAGACGACACCCCTAACCCTAAAGGTCCAGCCTGGGACCTCAAGGGCTTGAGGGGTGCCGGGTTTAGTTATACTGGGTTACACCAACAACTTCACAGACGGACTGAACTTGGAGATTAGAAACCCCATGATATCCGTTCCTACCCTCCTATAGGCTTAATATATTTTCAAAGAATAAAATTTTGTAAAAGTTACAGTTAACTGGACCAGTATTTTATTTTTTTCCTGAGAGTGGAGGAGAAGCTTTTGTGGTTATATATGGATATTTAAAATATATTATGAATGGTGATGTTTTGAGAATCTATGCTCAGGAAGAGAGAAAAGGAGAATGTATGCTGTGAACTGGTTGAAAGTAGATGTGGGTATATCCGCAGGGTACCCACCTTCTAGAAAGTCTTCTCCCACCCCAACAATGTGGTCCCTATAATGTTGTCATGTTTTTGTAAGACACCACATTTGGTCTTATATTATTGGTTTATTGGTTCAGAAATGGCTACATGAGCCAAACTAGGCAAATGGGTAAAGCTCCTAGTAAAAGTCCAGGAATTTTTTAATTTTGCATGAAACTATTCAATTTTTCTTCTTTGGCTAAAGATATAAAACTTAGAAACAGTTGGTTTCAGTTATCAACTGTGAAGAGAAAAGTAGCCACAAAGAGAGGATGAAGGAACAACAAGAAGAAGCAAGTTTCTAGTGACATCCACACCGCTGTTATGTGTCTCTTATTGCTAAATATGGTTCAAGTTGGTTTTCTTTCAAGGACAAATGAAATGCAATAACCAATGCACAATTTATGTCACTTAATGTCATTAAGTGCTAGCAGCAAATGGCTGTAGACTTTGTCCTTTTGTCCTTTAGCTTCTTTCAGTTCCACTTCTAGCTCTCCTATAGTTCCTTCCTGTTTAGTTGGGAAGCCAATTAACCAAATCCATTATAAGCGCAACTTGGCTAAGATTTCCAATGTCATCTAAGCTAAGGTTCCTAATTACATCTAAATTAAACTTAAATTCACTTTGTGGTGGTGTGGACAGTTTTCTTGATGCAAATACCTGAGCATTACTGAGTAGATCATGTGACAGCTATTTTTGTTAAGGAGGTCATTTTGCTTTCCTCTGTAGTATAAAATTTATGTATGTAGGGTTTCTTAGGGTGACCAATTGTCTTAATTTGCCCTGGACCACAGGGGTTCCAGGCTATAGAACTTTAAGTGCTAAAAACAAAAAAGTTCCAGGTACCTTGGGACAAGTTGGCCAAATTGGTTTTAAAAGTGGCCTCTTGAAAATGTGACACATCACTGAACACTTGAGGGAAATGCTTCATCTCTGAAGCCAGATCCTCTGGATGAAAATCCTGGTTCTGTTATTTAATGTGTCATGGTGGGCAAATTACTTAATCCATGTGTAGGTTAGTTTTCTCCATCTGTAAAATGGGGATAATACTGATGCCTCCTTCTTAGGTATGGTTTGTACATTAAGTTGATTAATAAATGCAGTCCTGAACATGTTTTGCTCACTAGCCAGACTCTATTTGAGCTGCTATTGCTATTATCATTGTTATTCCTGAGTTCCTAGTTACTAAGGCTAAATTACTGGCATGCAATTTAAAGAAAATGTCAGTACTGACAGTGCACCAGATAGTAAAGCAGATATCCAAAAATACCACCCAAATTTTATTTTTTTTACTACCACCCAAATTATAAGACTTCATTACCACCCAAATTATATTTTTTCCATTAATTGTATAATATCAGAACACACTTTTTTCTAAGATTCCTTTTCCACAATCTGCATTATAGGATAGAGGTTTTTTTATATTTAATGAATAAAATGAAATATATTATTTGAACTACTTCCCTACTTTTTCTTTCTTATACCCAGCAAAAAAAGAAAATTAAAAAAGGAATAAAAAGTGGAAGAGGTGAAATAAATATTCCATAATCATGAAATGAAGTCGTATTCTAGTTAGAATTTGATATTTGCTCTGAATCTAAAACCAACTGAATTTGCACTGCAATTATATCCAATGACCTTCTTTTTAAAAAAACCTTAAGTGAATTTTTTAAGAATACCATTCAGAGAATAAGCAGTTTTAAAATACTAAATAGAATATGACAAAGTATCTTTTTAATAATGTAAAACAAATGATTGCACAAAATAACAAGAAAAATGGCTTTTACTTTTTATTGGGATCTTAATGATTCCCAATACTGGATTGAATGCTTTACAAATATTGGATCTCATTTCAGCCTTTATAATACTTTATGATTTAAATACATGTCTTAATAAATAAATAAATAAATACATAAATACATGTCTTGTCCACTTTACACAGTAAAACTGTGGATGAATCTTAGCTCAGAGAAAATAAGTAAGTTCTTAAGTAATGTAAGTAGCTTTTCAATATGTGTTTTGTTTTGTTTTGCTCAAGTTAAATTGATAATTTTATTCTCTCACTTATAAAAGTTTCTGTTGTGTCCTAACACCATTATTCTTCTAATCTTTTGGTGTTACCGTAACTACCTTGACATAATGTGTGACAAGAGACGGCCCCTTCTTGTATATCCAGTGTATATAGATTTGATATCATTCCATTTTATGCAAGAAAGGGGAAGCCTGTTCTAAGAAGCCTCTGTTGATTCTGTTCTGAAATTCTACTGTGGTTACAGTGACTGATCTATTAGCTGTGACTCCAAATCTAGCTGTCCTGTCTGTCTTTGACAAGATCCATGCTTCTCCCACCTCCACTGAGTCCTTATTTCTTCAGGGACTGGACCAGGATCAGCAGACCAAGGCCAGTAGGTCAAATCTAGCTCAACTTGTGCTTCTATAAACAAAGTTTTATTGACACACAGCCTTGCCATTCATTTACATTCTATAATGACAGAATTAAGCAATTATAGAAGACACTATCTAGCCATAAAGCCTAATTTATTTACCATCTGGATCTCAACATACAAAACTTGCTAATTCTCAATTAATTAGACTATTTGACTCCCGAATACATTAAATGACTCTGAAGTGGTTTTCCATTCACTATATCCATACCTACTATGTATAAGGAGGACTTCCTCCTCCTCAAACCTGATGATTAAACCTACCTTAATTGCTCCTTGGTCTGTTTATACTCAATGTCATGGGCACTAGCATCTGGGCCATTGTAAAGCCTTCTGTCTGGTATGTGTCAGGGGACCTGCTCTGTCTCATCCCTTGAGTCCATTTGTCATAATCATGCCAACAGGAAAGTGAGATGAAATGTGTTGACATCCTCCAATGGGGACAATGACACCACAGACGGGCTGACTTAAACTTAGGTTATTGATTACTTTTTATTTTCTCAACTTCAAATACCATTTCCAATGCACATTATATTCATGATGCTTTACTTTCTTGTTTTGCAATGACATTTAGAAAGGGGAAATATAGAGAAATTTTTTTTTGAGCTTTGGCCTGGTTATCTGTTACTTTAAAAGAGTTATAAATGCAGAATTCTGAATGAGACTCCAAAACATACATCTTTTCCTGGAGGATAGGACCTCACCAAGCAGGGAAGTGATTAGAGGGTAATTGCTGCTATATCAAATTAGAGCATTAAAATAAATCATAGCCACACCTGTAGAACTCCCACTGCAAAAGAGCTAAAATTAAAAATTCTCAGGTCCATAACTGCAGTTCAGTCTTGGTGGGCTGCCCTCCAGATGCCCTGCCAATGGATTGCAGTTTGCATAGCTGTTCTTTGAGGCAAGAATTCCCCCCTTATTTCTTAATACTAATTGGGCTAGTTAGAGCTGGGCAGGCAGTGGCGCGGTGGCATCTGCTGCTGCTGCTGCTGCTGCTGCTGCTAAGAAAACTCCCTGAGGGTTTGGAACCAAGCAATGAACTGTGCTTTCTTGAGCTGGTGCTGATGGTTTGGGTGTCTTAGGAACAGAGCTGCTTCTAGAATAAGGAGCAGAAGACCTGAAAATTCTATAAAGAGCCTGTTCTGGACTTCTTTATAAATAATATGTTTGCTGGCACAGATTATAGAAAGAACAATGTTCCCACTTGGACTAAAGGAGATCTCTAGATTGAGAAAATGGGAAACAGCTGCTGTATAAGAAAGGATTTGTATTCTGCTGCCATTGTTCACCAGGGAGAGAGGAGCCACATTTTATTTCTGGTTTGAATCAGAGCTTTCCTGAGAAACCCAAGGCTGAGAGCAGCACTTGTTGTATGGAGGTGATTTTTCCCTCATGGTAGATTCAAATTGCTGACTTGCTCTTCTGATTATCTGAAGCTGTTTCTCATCCATCTGTCATAACACATAACAAGATATTTAAAAGAATGTCTGACAACCAATGTGAAGACCTATTTCCTTCCCAGCCTAGCTTTTCCAAATGGCAGTACATTGATCAGCCAGGCAGTTTAATGAAGCTGCCATCTTGCATCAGCTGTTATTCCCTAAATTAAGTCATATTCCATATAAAACCCTTATTGTTATTCAAGGCGCTTCCCAGCTACAGCTGTAAGATTCGATTAAATCAATACATTCCTGAGGAACAGCTTGTTAAGGAAAGACAATGTGAAAATACACAGGGTGACGACAGAAGAGAAATGCAGGATTTCATTTTACTAATCAAGTTTCAAGGTGTATTCTCATCTGTTGTAATGTCTTTTTTCAAATACACTTTCCTTTGGAATCTAAAATTTTATTGCCCTGAAATTATGCGTGTAAGAGATCATTGAAACTGAAAAGATGTCTTATAGCAGACTGGCTTGGCTAAAATCAAATGTTCTACATTACATACAAAGTGGCTCAGAATAGTTACTGTGGCCTGAGCAATTTATTCTCAAATATCCAGTAATTTCAATATGGAACAGAGTTACATCATTTTTGTCCTTGGCTCTGCATTTAAATTATAGATTCTAAAGCGATATTCTAATCCTATTAGGATTATAGGTGAATTAGGAAGTTGTATAGAAATCAACCAACCTGTTTACTTCCAGGTTCTCTTAGTTTCTCTGTATGTGAACTAAGGCATCACATAACTCTTTTGTAAAATAAGTCACTACTTCCTTGTTAATTTCATGATGCTGTTGTGCCTGTTACTCATTGCTGATCCTTAAGAGCCAGACCAGTGCCAGGCACATAGTGAGCATTCAAATTTTTTAGGAATAAATTAAAATGCTATGAAAACCTATCATACTTCACACTTGTTATTACATGTGTTTTAAGCCAGCATATGTGTTTGATTGGAACATTCACCTCTTTTCTTCATCCTCTGTCACCTCACCCTTTGTCATGGGCATCTGCAATTCTCTCTGCTGTCAGAGTATATTTCCTAATCCCTGGACTTCTGGATTAGACATGGAACTATGCAAAATGAATGATATAGGGTGTTCTAACTAGACCTAGACCTGAAGAGGCATTGCCTGTTTCAGCTTGTCCCATTGTCCTTTGCCATCACCATGAGATATGGCTCAGCTAATTCACTGATAAAAGAAAAATGAGGGACATGTGGAACATTTCCAAAATGATTTTAAATCCTGACTGTGTGCATGTAATTATGTCGTAGGGGAAGGAAAAGTTAAAAAGACAAGCATGGCATAAGTATAACCCAACTCGAAAGAAGTTTAAAAGTTACTGTGATATAGACAAACACAAGTCACTATTACAATGCAACACAAGATTAAGTATAAGAAATGTACTATGAAATCAAAGATAGCAAGGTAGTGGTAATGTGGAGGTCAGGGAAGATTCATGCATCCATTTATCTACTCAGCAAATACTTAGAATTTGTATATTTAGCAAAACAGATTTGATAGCTCTCTTCATTGATTTTATCATCTAGTAAATGCAAAGAGGTTTAGACTGGATAGGTAAAATCAGTTTATTATTCTCTTCTGTGTCAAAGATGGAGGAATGACTACCAGCAAAATAGACAGCTTGTGTCCAGAAGTACAAAATTAGATGAAGGTATGGGAGAAGCAGGAATAAGGATATCAGGATCTTAAAGGATCTCAGAGTTCACTAACCAAACTGTAAAGGTGTAAACCTACACCTCTCAGACATATACTTAGATGTAAATCAACATTACCTCAATAAATACAGCTTAATAAAAACATGCCTATTTTTTCTTTATATCATGGGTATCTCCCCTAAGATGCTATTCATATCTAGATCTATATATCTCCCATTCTTCTGAAATTTATTATCAATTTTTTATATTTTTCTGCCTTTTGTATTTTATTCCTTAATTGTTAACATTGTTTCTACAACTGGATTTTAAGCTTGTTTCATTTATGTGTTGAATACATGAATATATATGTGTGTATATTGTATCTAGTTTGCACTTATTATGTGCCAAGCACCTGCAATATAGTAATGAACTAGATAAAAATCCCTGTTCAAAAAGAGTTGAAGTGTGGTAAGAGAGTAAAGCCACAAATCTGATGGCCTCCCTTGTGGCACAAGGGGTTAAAATGCAACCTATGAAGCTATCCACAGCCTCCGCAGCACAAATTCCATCCCTGGCCGGCCAGAGAGCAACCCACATGGTGCAGCAGACCTCTTCTGACTTGCCCACTGTTGTTCTCCTCAGCAGTGTACTTTGGTCAATCTGCCCGTTCTGTTCCCCACTCTGTCTCTGGTGAATCCTCTCACCCCTTGCACCTCTGGCCTGTATCCCAGCTCTTGTATGCATAAATAAATACATCTTTTTTAAAAAAGCCACAAACCTGAGAAGTGAACTACATAATATGTTCTATAAGTATAAATTACATAAATATAAACTATATACATGTCATTGTATGATATCACTAGATGAAAGTTGTATTTATGTAATTTATATTTACATAACAATATGGGATAAGATAAAGAAAAATAAAGTGGCACAAAAGAATAGGGACTTCTAAAGTGAACAATTTTAAATAGCATAATCATCAATGTCCTCACTAAAATGTTGGCATTTTCTGAAGAATGGAAGGCAGCAATTCGTGAGGCTATCTAGAAGCAAAACTTTCCAGGCAGAGAGAGAGCAGCAGATGAAAAGGAGACATGAGGTCATACTTCACTGATCAAGGAATAGTCTTTATCACATCTGGCATGGAAAGAGGGGGAAATACGTCTTTTATGTCATGGTGATAGGAGCTAGATTGTGTGGGTACTGTGTGGGCTTGAGTACTCCCTCTGAGTTAGAAGGGAAGCCATTGGAAGATTTTAGAAGGAGAGCTCATGATCTGACTTATATTTTTATGGGCGTCTTTGTTGATAATTGATTAAAGAGGCAAGAGCACATTTTGGAAGCTGTAATTCAAGTGACAAATGAGGGTAGGTTGGACTAGGCTAAAAGCAACAAAGGAAGTGAGAAATGGCCTGTACCGAGTATATTCTGAGGCTAAAGTCAATAGGATTTAATCAATGATTGAATGCATTATATGAGAAGATAAGATTCAAGGTTCAGTTTAATCTGTCTGGTCCCTAGTAGGGAGAAATAATAAGGAGTTGCCAATTATTGAGATAGAAAAGGCTGTGGGATGAGCTACTTTTATGATGAATATCAGGAATTTAATTTTAGACATATTATCTTTGAGATACT